GATCACCTCCACCCTCATCCCTTTCTCCACCTCTTTCTCATCTCGCAACCTAGCAACCATGTCTGGCGCAGCGGTCGGTGCTCAGCCCGAGGTCGCCTCCTCGCAGGCAAAGATCATTGACGGGAATGCCATTGCCAAGTGAGCGAGAGATCTTCGGCGTGACACTGGAAAGGCCAAACCGCGCTGACGCCTGCTTGCTCGCAGGGAGATCCGGACGTCTCTGTCCAAGTCCATCGAGGAGCTCCACGCGCAGGCACCCACGTTCCACCCGCCTCACCTCGTCATCCTCCAACTCGGCTCGAGCCCGGCCTCGACGACGTACATCCGTATGAAGCTCAAGGCGGCGGAGGAGTCCGGCATGACGGTGCAGCACATCAAGGTGGACTCGGACGAGGAGTCTGGCGAGCCAAAGGGAACGGGCGTGAAGAAGGTGCTCGAGCTGGTCCGACACGCCAACGCGGACGAGAAGGTCTCGGGGATCCTTGTCCAGCTCCCTCTCGAGGGTGCCGGCAAGGCAGAGGAGAAGAGCGTGGTGGATTCGGTGTCCGTGTCCAAGGACGTCGACGGCTTCCACCCGGAGAACATCGGTCTCCTCACCAGCCGGATCTCTGAGCCTTACTTCACCCCCTGCACCCCCGCCGGCGTGATCAAGCTCATTGAGTCGACCGGATTTGACCTTGCCGGGTCCAACGCCGTCGTTCTCGGTCGCTCCGACATTGTCGGCACGCCCGTCTGCGCCCTGCTGAGGAAGAAGGATGCCACTGTGACCCAGTGCCATTCCCGAACCAAGAACCTCGAGGATATTGTCAAGTCCGCCGACGTCGTCATCGCCGCTATTGGCCAGGCCGAGTTTGTCCGGGGCGAGTGGCTCAAGCCGGGCGCCATCGTCATCGACGTCGGCACTAACTACATCCCTGACGCCTCGAAGAAATCGGGCCAGCGTCTCGTCGGTGATGTGCACTACGAGTCCGCCAGCAAGGTCGCCAGCTACATCACCCCCGTTCCCGGAGGTGTTGGCCCCATGACCGTCGCCATGCTCATGCACAACACGTTTGAAGCCGCCAAGCGAACTTGGTCGACCCGACGGGAGCGCAAGCTGGTTCCCCTCCCTCTCAAGATGCTCGACAAGGTCCCGAGTGACATTGAGATCGCCGTCGCGCAGGAGCCCAAGCTCGTTGCGACCGTCGCCGAGGAGATGGGAGTCCAGGCCGACGAGCTCGAGAGCTACGGACGATTCAAGGCAAAGATCGAGCTTTCGGTCCTCGACAGGCTCAAGGACAAGCTCGACGGAAAGTACATCGTCGTGGCGGGTATCACCCCTACGCCTCTTGGCGAGGGCAAGTCGACCACCACCATCGGTCTCGCTCAGGCTCTTGGCGCGCACCTCCAAAAGAACGCCATTGCCTGTGTTCGTCAGCCGTCCCAGGGCCCGACGTTCGGCGTCAAGGGCGGCGCCGCCGGTGGTGGCTACTCGCAGGTCATCCCGATGACCGAGTTCAACCTCCATCTCACCGGCGACATCCACGCTGTCACCGCGGCCAACAACCTGCTCGCCGCTGCCATCGACGCCAGGATGTTCCACGAGTCGACGCAGAAGGACAAGGCGCTGTTCGACCGTCTCTGCCCTAAGAAGAAGGGCAAGAGGTCGTTTGCCAAGCCGATGCTCGCCCGACTGAAGAGGCTCGGCATTGACAAGGTCGACCCGGAGCAGCTTACCGAGGAGGAGCAGTCGCGCTTCGCTCGTCTCGACATTGACCCGGCGACCATCACCTGGAACCGCGTGCTGGACGTCAACGACCGATACCTGCGTGCTATCACTGTGGGTCAGGCGCCCACGGAGAAGGGCTTCACCCGCCAGACCGCATTCGACATTGCCGTCGCCTCCGAGGTCATGGCCGTGCTCGCCCTGTCCAAGGACGTTGCCGACATGCGTGCCCGCCTCGGCCGCATGGTCGTCGCCTCGAGCAAGGCCGGCGAGCCCATCACCGCCGAGGACATCGGCTGTGCCGGCGCCATGGCCGTCCTCATGAAGGACGCGATCAAGCCCACTCTCATGCAGACCCTCGAGGGTACCCCCGTCTTCGTCCACGCCGGTCCCTTTGCCAACATCGCGCACGGCAACTCGTCCATCATCGCGGACCGCATCGCACTCAAGCTCGCCGGTATCGAGAAGGGCGACGACGCGTCTCGCAGCGGTTACGTCATCACCGAGGCTGGCTTCGGTGCGGACATCGGCATGGAGAAGTTCTGCAACATCAAGACCCGCGTGTCTGGCCTCCGCCCCAACGCCGTGGTCCTCGTCGCGACCATCCGAGCCCTCAAGATGCACGGTGGCGGTCCCGCGGTGACGCCCGGCAAGCCCCTCGACGCGGTTTACACCGAGGAGCACCTCGACTTGCTCGAGAAGGGATGCGCCAACCTCGGCAAGCACATCGAGAACGCAAAGAAGTTCGGCCTCAAGGTCGTCGTCGCGATCAACCGCTTTGCGTGAGTCGGATCGTATCTGGCGTGGAATCCTGCTGATTGGTATAGGCACGACACTGTCCCCGAGATGGAGCTTGTTCAGAAGTACGCCCTGTCCGTCGGCGCCGACTATGCTGTCCCCGCCAACCACTGGGCTCGGGGTGGTGAGGGCGCTGTCGAACTCGCCGAGGCCGTCATCAAGGCCTGCGAAGACGAGTCCCAGTTCAAGTTCCTTTACGACCTCAACCTCCCTCTTGTCCAGAAGATGGAGATCATCGCCAAGGAGATGTACGGCGCCGACGGCGTCTCTCTTTCGCCCGAGGCCCAGGCCGAGGTCGAGCGATACGAGCGACAGGGCTACGGCGGTCTCCCCATCTGCATGGCCAAGACTGCTCTGTCCCTCTCCGACGACCCCAGCAGGAAGGGTGTCCCCACCGGGTTCACCCTCCCGATCCGCAACGTCCGTCTCTCCGCCGGCGCCAGCTTCGTCTACCCCCTCGTGGGAGACATGTCCACCATGCCAGGTCTCACCACCAGGCCGGGCTTCTACGACATTGACCTGAACCCGGAGACCGGGGACATCGAGGGTCTCTTCTAGTCGCGGTGACGGCGAGGTGGCTGAAGTGGCATAGAGAAAGCATATAGAAAAACGAACCGCATTCATCATTCCATACCCAACCGATTCAACATCCATACCTTCATGCGTATATCATCATGTCATGCACGCCTCAACGGCACTCAGTAAACATGTACCAGCTGCGTCACTTCATAGGCGCTTGGAAGACTCTCCCTCACCCTCCTGAGCCTGTTCACTCGCCCGGTATATTTCCTCGAACCGAGCAGTTGTCTGGCGCAGGTCGTCGATGTACATCTGATCCAAGGTTTCTATCATACTCGAGCGAGGACCCTCGTCCGAGTTGCAATGCATAGCACTGTGGAGCTCGCTCATGGTCTTGAGAATTTCTTGCAGCAGTCGATTGGCTTCGCTTGTGTGGGAGACAGCGTTCGTGTCCCTGACGGACTGTGTGTCAGTGCTGGTGGTCGACCCCATATGGTCGAGCAGCTGCTTCTTGGCCCGATCACGATTGCTGATCGCTTCAAAGAGCCCCATACTAGTGTCAAGCCTCACATTCAGCCTTTGGATAGCCGGGTCCGCCGATGGCGCCGAAAGCTGGTTCAAGAGCGATCTCAACGAGGCGACTGACGACTTGGCTTGATCGTTCAAGGATGGACGGGACTGGGCGTCGCGCTCTTGAGAGTCCGGTCGTTCTGACGTTTGGATAAGAGTGCTCATCAGTATCACGTGGCGGAGGAGCATGCTGGCTGATGAACACAATGATGGTGACCACGAGTCTTAAGATGCACTGGTCGGTGGCGACGAGCCGGGCGGATCGGTCTTGATATATATGTTACATAGAGTGATGGGACGAATCCCTTCTCGGTTTCGCATTTCAAAGGATCAGTCCGGCTTCGACATCCGTGAAGCGAGAACGCGCAGTTTAACGAGACTTTGGGAAGACGCCGGGACGCGTCCACTCCTCGGTCTCGCATGTCGATGGACTTGTCTGGAGGCCAGCCCTTTAACAACTGGCATTCGTGAAGGGACGACGTCAAACTCCTGTGATCTCAGGACGCGACAGCGTCGTGCGTGACGTCTCGGCGTTCACCTGAGATAGCGTGCCACCGCTCACGACCACTTACAATACAACTGACCCACCTTTCATTACGCCGTAAGCCAAAGAATATTGTAACTGCTTCACTGGTTCAACTGCGGTCAAATGAGTGATCTCGGCCGTGGCTGGCACACCGATAGAGTACTGTACAAATACGTAGCCCCTTTCACGACCTCTCAAGGCGGTGAAGACTGCTCCACGAGGCTGTCTTCTCAATCATCACGTTCATACGGTAACCGTCTATCTCCTGAAAAGTTCGCAAGCATACGGCAGGAAGACTGGACCTGAGCGTGACTTGTGCAAAATCCGGACGGCCGCTGCACTTACCGCGCGCTCTAACGAGTCGGGTCCGCGGAAGAAGATTCACCCTCCTCGAGACTTGGAGTATGGCCGTAGACGTCCTGGAATGCGGTGATCACGTGTTCCAGCTCTTGTGCCCAGGTGTTATGAGCGAGGATCCACTTCATCTGGCTGTCGGGATTCATTCCAAGATTAGGACGAATGACATGACTGCAGGCTTGCAGGCTCGCTAGATACTCGGTCACTGTGCGCTGGGCCTCGTCTTCCCTCTCACTCGCGTTGACCGAGCAGAGAATGTCCTTAATTCGATTAATAACCGAGCCACGGGCCACCTGTTTGTTCAAGACCTCACGCATATCACGAAAGAGGGATGGCGCTTGCAGAGGCTCCTGAGAGGCGTCTTGCTGAGTCCTCATTCTGGTCATGTATTCGAGCGCAGAGGACCGGATCTCCTCAGTGGAGACCCTGGTCCTCTCGCCATTGGATGTGGAAGACGAGCCACCATTGGTGCTCTGTTGCTGCTGGGTTGACTCGGACATCTCTGGTTGAATACGAAGTAATCGTTAAGCTCAAGAGGAATCGAACCTCTGCTACGCCGATATCAACAGCGAGTACTAACCGTTATACTATGAGCTTTACTATTCGGTTAATATCGCTTTTAGGATTTTTTTAAATATTAATATACTCCTACAGGGGTGGATGGAATCGAACCACC